CCAAAGAGGTTACAGCAGATGGTGAACTGTCCAAAATTCAAACCAGATATTGAGAACTGAAATTAGAGATGCCATTGCTGATGTCAGATGGATCTTGAATGAAACCAGAGAATACTCAAAAAAGTTTACTTGTGTTTTATTGACTATGTGAAGCCATTCACTTTGTGGATCATAACAAATTATGGTTAACATTGCAACGCATGGGAATTCCAGAACACTGAATTGTGTTCTTGTGGAACCTATACATAGATGTATAGACAATTGTTCAAACAGAACAAAAGAATAATAATGGTTTTAAATCAGAAAGGGAATTTATCACTGTCTTATACTTTCTCCATACTAATACAATCTGTGTGTCAAGCAAATAATCCAAAAGGTTGGACTGTGAGTTGGTTAATTGTGCCAACCTGGCCGATAATCACATGTGGGGCTAATTGAAAGGCAGAGGGATAAATGGGTGGTGAGCCTCGCCTTTCTAGTTCTCGGGTCTCTTGCTTTGTGATGGTCGCACCAAGGTTAAGCTGCCTTAGCAGTTCCCTGCTTCAGCTTGCAAGATTGACTTCCTACAAGACATCCCTAAGGAGAAGCTACATGGACATATCCCGATGCAGCCCTGGGTGCTGGAGCAGCCGTGTAGAGACCCCTGCTAGTGCTGAGATGCTTATTCGTTCACTGACTCAGCTTTCCTCCTGCAGTCGGCATCATTGCCTCTGTTTTGTGAGGTGGAGGACTTTGTGGACTGGTGTTGAGTTAATGTTGGACTTGTGGGCTTGGGCAGCATTGGGTTGGGATGTTTTCGTGATGCACACTTTCTTTACTTAAAAACTCTCTTATACATGAGTTGCTGTGGATTTGTTTCTCTAAAGTACCTAGACTAATACAGACTGTATGAAGAAGAATGAGACATTAGGACTCATTAACAATATCATCTGTGATATGCAGATGATATAACCTTGCTTGCTGAAAATGAAGAGATTTAAAGCCCTGACTGGTGAAGGCCAAAGACTGCAATATGGGTTATACCTCACCATAAAGAAAGCAGAACTCCCCATCTGCAGACCAATAAGCAGCAGCATCATAAACAGAGAATATTGAAGTTACCTGTCAACTTACTGAAATCCACAATCAACACCCACATAAGCCACAATAAGTCAAACAATTTGTTGCACTGGGAAAATCTGTGCAGGACCTCATGGAAGCATTCAAAAGCAGATAATCATTTTGAGGCTTAAGGTGCCTCTCACCCCAGCCATGATATTTCAGTCACCTTATATACATGTGAACCCTGAACTATGAATAAGGAAGACTGTAGAAGAATTGAAGCTTTTGAATGACTGTGTTGGTGCAGAATATTCAGTACACATGAACTACTAGAAGAATGAACAAATCTGTTTTGGAAGAAAGTACAGCCATAATGATTACCTTTCATGTTATTTCAACATGTTTTCGAGAGGGACCCATCTCTGGAGAAGAGCATGATGCTGGGTCAAGTAGAGGGTCAAGAGGAAGACTTCCAGCAAGACAGATCACCACTGTTGTGGCAACAATGGGCTCAGGGTAATGACTGTGAGGATGGCACAGGCTCTCCATGCGTCAGGCCACCTTGACAGCACCTACCAACAAGAAACCAGCATTATAATTAACAATAGAGGGGAGTTCTTGTCATTTTAGTTCCTTTCAAAAGGCAGATTGAAGAATTTGATCATTGAAATAAATACTTTTAAGTAGAATAACCATTTGCCCCAACTTATCCCAGAGAATCCTGCTTTATTCTTAATTGTATTTGCCCTACCTATTAGTACTTTCATTTTAGTCTGAAAAGTACCCCAATTTAAATGATATATAATCGCTCTCTACTTTCAAGGAATAATTATGCACTAATACTAATTTTAGACTCAAGTCCCATCTTATATCAGATCTTTGAGGAATTACATACTTCTTTTTGCACATTTATATTGCAGCAGTAGATTCTTGTATGGAGAATTAAACAGTCTGCTTTTCATCAGAATTTCAAGACAGAAATAATGTATTATTATTATTATTGTGATTGCAACAAATTAAGATTCCCTTATGTTTTCTTAAAAATGTGTATTCTAGTGATACATAAAGTTATTTAAAACAACAACGACAATAAACTTGGGAACTCTCAGGTTCACGAGAACCCAAGAAAAGATGGAAAGCCTCAGCTTGTTGGTATGTAGTTTGGTAACCAGAAAGAGGATCCAAAACAGCTTTAGTGACTGAGTCACTGTTAACTTTCTGGGCAATAGGGAACTTTAATCTTTTCCATGTATGGTTCACGATTCATTACTGTTGCTCATTCATGGCTCATTTATGACTCTGCTTCCCACCCCCGAGAAACTGTTTCTACATCACTTTCAATTTGTCTCCTCGCCCCACCCCCAATCAAATTATTCATTTGATCTCTGTCATGCCTGTTTCAGTCCATATTTTTTCCATACCTCATCATCACACACAGAGGGTTGTATAACACGTGCCCTGCACAGGGGCATCTAAGGGAACAAGTGAGAACTAAACTTCCAGCCCATCCTTCATTTAAACAACTGCTCTGGCCCAGGCTCACAGTCACCTGAAGGAAGGGGGTCTTTTTCTAAGTTTCACAACGGCATCATAGGGGATAGCAGCAGCCCTGTCACAAGCCACAGATACCTCAAGTCCCACAAGGTGATAGGAGTGGAGGAAGGGAACAGTACACCTGCATGGGAACTGGCGCATGGCCTTTTTCTCAAACAGTTTTTTGCTAGGAACACATTAAGGTTTGTAGGCATTTTGAGACTTAGACTGGGTATTCTGTTTTCATCCTTTGGGTACATTTCAGTGAATAAAACGATCTCAGCCTGGTGACCAAAGTCAACATCAACAGTAATAAGTCATGTTGATAGTATGCACCTTTGATAAGATGAGAATTTCAATTTGCCCCTGGGTTCTTCCCAAAAGTGCATTAACTCCAATCTCACTATCTGAAAAATGTCAGACAAATTCCATTAGAGGGACATTGTACAAATATCTGATCAGTACCCTTCAAAACTGTCAGGTTTTAGTAAAACAAAGTTTATTTTTGATAAAGCAAGGAAATTCTGTCAGGAACAGACAGGGGCCTAGCCAACGTCCTGTGGAACCGTAGATGGGGTCGTGGAACAGAAAGGGTACACAGAGAAACACCACGCTGTCTAGTACAGTGTCATAGCCCTTTAATACTGGTTCACTAGTTGTGAAGTCAACAATCCCTAGTTTGGGGTGGGAAAAAACAACTGATGGTGCTTCCCAGTTTAGCTCAGAAGAGAAAGCTATAATTTAATGTATAATAGTTACATAAAAATTTGGTCATGTAATTCAAAGATGGGCATTTAAAAACATGGAGGGAGGTAATGTCATGGTTTTCTGTTCCTATCAAGTGCACTGGAATCAATTCCAACTCATAGCGACCAAAATGAAAGTAATTGAATACATTTCCAAAGGAAACACAACAGAAAAAACTATACCTCAAAATAAAAAAAATGAGATCATCAAATGTATTGATATAATTTTTAAATTTTTCCTTTAAGTTTAAAAACATAAAAAGAAAGTTACAAAGTTGTTTCTGTGGTATGTGACCACATGGAGAGAAAGGGAAAAAAAGAAAGGAAGGAGGGAAACTGGAAGGTGAGGAGAAAAGGGAGGAAGAAGAAGAAACAGAGATCACAAGAAAGAAAGCTCCCTCCAAAAACTCACTGCCATTTGGTCTCCTAGCGACGCTACAAGGACAGGGAAGAACACGTGGGTTTCCAGACGAACTTTTTTTTTTAATAGGAGAGAACTTTATATCAAGAAGTAATTATAAATCAAGGAAACATCCCAACCCAGTCCAGATCAAGTTAATAAGGCCAATACTAGTGCATAGACTGTAGCTCTTTACTGGAGTGGAAATCCTCCTTCTCGGTGGAGCGGCGGGTGGTTTCAAATTGCTAACCGCAAGATCCAATAGTTACTTGTCTACACACAAGAAGTTGGATTAGAGAAAGCATTACTTTTCCATCTTACCCCGTTGGTATTTTTAAATTAAAAAATAATATACTAAGAAAAATAATTTGGCTTTGAAAAAATATTAATTCATTTAGGCATTTGAAAATAAATCTAAGTACAAATTCCTTTAGATTTGGACCATCTACTCTTTCAGTCGTGTGGACCACATGCAACTTGACAGCAATTTCTTGTGGTTTTCTTTTCCCAAGCTTTTCAACAAAAAAGTTCAACTTAGAAGAATATCTTTTGCTTTTGCACTCCTATTTCATTGGATATATAAATATTTATACAGCATATGACTGGCATAAATTAGAAATAAACAAATTGGTTTCACAAGCAAAAGCCTCAATTGACAAGAGCAGAAATAAAGTAGTGAGCCCGAAAGTGGCCTGCTAAGTAAGCATCAGGTTCATCATAAGGAAAAAAGCCGAAAATGCTGGTTGGTAAGTTTGCTAAGTGGGTATCAGAGAGATTACCTTAAGTATGAATATATGGCATTGTTGTGTGGACGGGCTTTTCTACTCCCATAAAGTGCTAGTCTGAGCATCTCAGGCTCTCGGGTTGTGAGGAGCGGCATCGGCTGGATAGCAGTGCGTTTGGTTTGGGTTTGGTGATATTATTTGTGATATCTTAGTGCGAAGATCTAAGTGAGAGATTTTAATTATTGGATTGCTTCCTAAATATCCTTAGAGTTCTTCAGACACCTGTGGTTGTGCTAAATTGTTGCTATGTTTATTTTATTTTAGTTAGGAGTTTCTCTTAATCAGGAAAAATATGTATAATTATTTTTACCTGTCCTTAAATTTGCAGGAGAACGATGTCGCCGTCTGTAATGATGTGTCTGTAAAGATGCATGGTCTGGACGGCATATAGGGTAGTCTGCTCTGCACTGTGGGGTCCTTCGCTCTGGAATCAACTCCACAACAAGTCTGGGTTTGAATGTTATGAAATGTATTGGTTTTGTTTTTATCTTAAAGGTGTCAGAAAAAATTATAATGGACTACTATGAGAAGTACAAACTTAGAGTGAGTGAACTGGAAGCTTTTAATATGGTAATTTTTTATTTATATCTTTTAAATTGGATATATCGCTAGACCAGAGTAATACCCTATTCACAGTTACTGTGAGGCCAGCCAATGTGTGTAGTTATCCCATGACCATGGTTTTAGGAAAAACTGTTGGGAGAACCTCCTAGTTTAGAACCAGACTAGGTGGTAGTAACATAGTAAAGAAAACACAAGGTGTCTTTCTCATGAGATTCTCTTACGTTCACAGAAAGAAGTTTGAAGTTCTTTGAACACATACTGCCCTTGATGCAGTAATTTCACAAGCATTCCTCGTAATGAATTTCATTCGTGATGCCCTTTAAATAAAGCTTCCAATCCACATATATATGATTGGTTGCTTGTTGGATTGTACCTCAAAGTCGTTAAAAGGACATTCTTTTCCTATTACTATTCTTTTTTTTTTTTTAATTAACCTTTTATCTGTGCAGTATTCACTTTCTGAAAATGTACAATGCATGTTAGACATTCGGCCTAAAACGAGCTTTCCTAGATAAAATTTCCTTAAACAAAAGTGATAAAGAAATAAGCGCGACCCCCCACTCCCAAGTGACCACCATCTCTTTCTTCTTTCTTTCTTTTAGTTGAAAGTTGTTTTGGCGCCTTGTATCGAAACATTGATTCTTCTAGATCGACTCTGCTACCTAAAAGAGCAGGTAAGTGATATTATTTTAAAAGGCATAATAATATCTTTAGTAAATCCTATAATATGTATCCGCTTATCTCTAAAATAAGTTCCTTCCAAACGGAACAAGAAAGATAATATTTCTTGTTGCATTTTCAAAATCGAACTGTACATTCCATCTTTTTAAAACATGTAAACATGTACAGCAGATGTTTTAAGCAAAGCTACTTTAGTAGTTTATGTTTCTTTCATTGTTTGGTAGTTATGATCCTGTAGGCAGGCAACACAAAGCACCATATGTAAGCTGTTATATAACTAAAATTGATAAAGGCCAGGAAAAGATGCCTTGTATACATTTAATTTGTAAGAACTTTCCTTTTTATTCGCTTTTTGATTTTTGTACACTTGTGCTTTGCAGTACAGAAACTTCTTTCTGAATAACGAAGATTGTGTCTGTATTTCTCATAATAAATTTTGCCTATTTTTCGTATGTTTAACAGGGAAAATATTTTTTTGGTTACTGTTAGGAAAGATATTTCTTTTATCTTCTACTTTGAGCTGTGGTCAAAATAAAGTTTTGTGAGCTGTTTAAATTAAACCCACTTGTGGGTACCATTCATTGTAAAATTTTTCTTTATTATATGGGGAGTTTTATGTTCTTTTCAATAGGCTACTGGGGACAAATAAATTATAATAGATATATGCTTTTATTTTAATTGGTATTTTTATATAGAGAGGCAATTATTTAAATATTCAAATTAAGATGGATTTGCCTCTGCTGTCTACTAAGTCATCACTGAAGTGTAAGGCCTCCCTGAGTGGGCATTCACACCCCTTTTCGAACAGTCTTCACTGACCGGAGGACAATAGGCAGGTAAAACGGTGTGTGTATGAAGACTGGAATTGAAGTGCTAGGACTAATGTAAATTTTAATGTTGATTACTTTATTATAAAGAGGAAATATATTTGTGGTTGAAGAGTAAAGAGAATAGAAGAATATAAAATTAGAAAATTATAAGTAGCTATAGTCACAACATGCAGTATTAACTTATATTAATTTTTGCTGTATTTTGGTGCTTCTAATACACCTATATTTTATGGATGTATATGTGTGCACATTATTCATATTTTATTTTAAATTGAAATCCATTTATACAGTTTTACATCTAATTTCTTCCATGTTTTTAGAATTTTTCTACCTCATTAAATTAATGGTTATAAACATAAAATTTTATAATTTTATGACAAAACATGAGTACAAAAGAAAAATATATTTCTATAAGAAAAATATATTTTCTATAAAAATATATTTCTGTAATATGTTCTATACGGCCTTTGTTGAAAGACTTGATAAAGGAAAATGGCCATTAAATTCATTAAATATATTCATAAGCTGAATAGTTTAATCATATAATCTGATTTAACTAATTCTCAATTGTTACTGCCCACTGCCATTATTCACTATTATAAGAAGCTATTCACCTTGCAGTTCACTCTCTGTGGACAGTGTTAATTCTTAAAGGTCAGAGCACCTCAGCAAGGGGAGAGGCCCTCTATCTACCTGTACCGGTGTACGGGCCAGCAGGCAGTTTGTGAGAATGCCCTTTCCACCAGCTGGCAATCCCTGAAAGAAACTTCTCCTTAATTTGGTTGGTGCTGGGAAGATTTGGGTTGAATGACATCAGAAATATTTGAGGCAGTAGATCATACTACTTAGTTTTTGTTGTCAGTGTTCATTTTATTCAAGAAAGAATCGTTTTTTTAGAGAGCTTGTTATTTCCATAGTTTTATGTTACAGTGTATAGTCTGGCTCTTTCATCTCTCCTTCAGTAAATGTTGTATATCTAAATCACTTATCAATTTGCAGGAAGACATTGCGTGGTGCTCACTGGTGAAGTTGTTTGATCCGGTGACATCTCCCAGATGTTATGCAATCATTGCACTCAAGAAGCAGCAGTGATTCAAGTTGAAGCAAGGCATTCCCTACTAATGGGTAGAACCCGATTTTCTACATATTATGCCATGATATGTAAATATTGTAATCATTGCATTTTTTAAATAAAATAATAGCTAGAAAGATAATGCCAATTCATTTTTGCATTGAAAAGCACATGTTAATAAAAGAGAAAGTAGTCACACTGCTTTAGAAAGGCTGACCTGCTGTACTGGGTTACCACGTCGGTGTTACTGGTAGCTGCCGTCCATCCATCACTTCCCACTCTTGGTGACCTCAGCTCTGCACAGTAGGATGAAACTTTATAGAGCTTTCAAGGCTGTGTTTGGAAGTAGTTCATCCAGGCCTTATTTCCAAAGTGCTCTGGGTGGGTGTGAACAGCCAGCGTTTCGATTAGTAGTTCTACCACAGATAGAGAATTGTACATGTGAGTCTTGCGGGGACAGTGGTGGCTCAGTGGTAGAACCGTCATGTAGGAGACCCCAGGTTCAATTCGGCCAGTGTGCCTCATGCACAGCCACTACCTTGTGCAATGCTGTTCCACTTAACAGGTTTCAGCAGTGCTTCCACACTCAAACAAACTAGGAAGAAAGACTCCAACTATCAGCCAATGAAAACCCTCATAGCAGCCAGTCTGCAAGTAATACCCAGGAACCAAGCAAGATATAACACATGCCTGTATAAAGCACATTTACAGTGCTACTCTAAGTGAACTCAAGCCAAACCCAGAGTTACCGAGTCAACTCCAGCTCCTAGTGACCCTATGGACACAGTAGACCTCCCCTGAGGTGTCCGTGACTCTAGATCTTTACAGGAGTAGATAACCCAGCTGTCTCCCACAGAGCAGCTCCTGCATTGAAGCATGTGGCCTTGTGGCTAGCAGGTGAGTGCTAACCAGGCGATTATACCAGAGCATCGGGTAAGATTCGCTACGCTTAAGGAGCGCTTTTCTTTTGGAGAAAGACTTCAGTAATATCTTAGGAATAAGATAACCATTCGGAGGTTGGTTGGGAGTATTCATACCAAAATAAAGTGATGTGCTGCCACTTATTAGAATTATCTTGATCTCTATAAAAAGCCTATTTGTATAAAGTGTGTTGAGGCCAGCATTCTTCCCATTGCAATACAGATTTCTCTCATTAGCAGAAAACTTGACATTTCTGGAGTGCACAGAAATGACTGAGAGGTGGGAAATGCAGTAAATTTGGTTTTTTGTTTTTATAGGTAGTCTTAGAAACAAGGATGTGGACACATCATCTCACAGACTTTGAATATGTTGTCAGGAGAGACCAGTCCCTGGAGAAGGACATCATGCTGGGTAAAGTAGATGGGCAGCAAAAAAGAGGAAGACCGTCGACGAGCTAGATTGACATGGGAGCTACAAGAATGGGCTCAAACATAACAGTTGTGAGGAGGGCACCAGATCGGACAGTGTTTCTTTTTGTTGTACACAGGGTTTCCATGAATCGGAACCAACTCAGCAGTACCCAAAACAACACTCACACAGGGAAAAATAGTTGTGTTGCTTTGGGTTGTGATATTATGGAGTTTGCAGCCAATTTTTATGTGAATTAGCAGGTAATTTACACAGTACACTACTGTAAATAAGACATTTTGTAACATTTTTTGTACTCAAAAATCTAAGCATACTTAGAAACAGAGAGTTGAGTGTAATGAATCCCCATGTACTCCACACAAATTTCAAGCACATACACACATAGTCATTCAGACCCACCACCTTTGGAGTATTTACAAACAAATCTAAGTCAGTCTTATAAATAAAGACTTTTCTTTATTACCATCTGTTACTCTTCTTCATGTCCCTAATTACCACAAGATAAAAAGTCTTTGTTTGATATATCTCTTAACTTGCCTTTAATATATAACAGATTTACTCTCTGTCATTTCATAGCATTTTTATTTTTTAAGAAGCCTATGGAATTTTCCAACTCTGAGTTTATCTGGTTGTGCCACTGTTGTTGCTATACATAGAGTTTTCATTGGCTAATTTTCAGAATTAGATCACGAAGACTTTCGTAGTCTAGAATCTCTACTGAAACTTGTTCCTGGGCAACTCGGCTAGCACCTCCTCTAGAATTATAACACTCAAAACGACACATTGACTAATACGTAATGGTGAATATACTGTGGACTGCCAAAAGAACAAATCAATCAATCTGATGGGGTATGGGGGGTCAGGGTCCTTAACACTTGAACAGGTCCTCAGGAGTGACATTGCAATTGTGGAAAATAATATAGCCAGATAGAGCCAGACAGGGATTTCTCATCCCGTGTCAGGACTGAGAGAGTGAATATATTTTCCAATGGAGCGTAGAGATCTTTCATCAGGCGTGCATGTCATACAGCTAACATATTACATAGTTAATAGGTAATATCATAAGTGGGAAACATAATAAAACCAGCAATGAGGTGAGTCTTGACCTAGGGCTAGTTGACCTCAAATCCTCCTGAGCGCCCCCCCCCACCCCCACCCCCCCGGGCTAGTAATTTCAATGTCAATAAGAGTTGCCAAAACAGAGTTTGCTACATTTTATGGTGGGTTGGCTATAGAACCTGATTGCTCTCATCTACAGATAACCTTTGGGAATGGTGAAGTAGCAGACACAAATGATTCTTCTATCATGTTAGCTCCTTTAAGACTGCTCCTTAGTAGAGGGCTATGGGGGGTGAGGGGTGGGGGGTGGGGGTGGGGAGCCACATTATTCGATCTGGAGAATGTGTATTTGAAAACATTTCTATTTTGGAACAATGGGAGTGTAGAAATAAGGTCAAAT